TTTTACTCTTAGTCTTTATGTTTATTGTGTCGATTAATATAGATTGTATATTACTTGTTATAAATATATAATAATGTGAACATATGAGATATATTAATGTGAGCTTAGATTTTGGTAGAAACATTAGTACATTATTTTTTTTTGTTAGTTCAGTGGTAATGTTTATGTTTAGGTCATTGTATAAGGAATGATTTGAAACGTACCATAGAGTGTGGGTTAGTAGCCTCTGCATAATTGATTGAAACGCTTAGATTGATCTGATGTTTGAAGGTTTAGCAAGACCTCAGATAGCGATTCCATAAAATCAGACAGGTCTTATGATTGATTTATATATAAGTAGTTTGTTTTGAAGTGGTATTTTGGAGTTGAGAAGATAGAGTCTATTGTTTGCTAATTTTCTTTTTTCTTTTAAGTGAGAAATCTTTTATGTTAGTCTTTTGTCCAGTATTATGCCTAAGTATTTTATTTCTGTTTTGCCAGGGATGAGGATGTTGTTCGTGAAAATGACTTGTACAGATATTTCAGTATTTATTTTTGTTTTTCATTTTTTTGTTTATTTGTCGATTTTATTTGCTTGATCCTAAAATGCTTTTGAAATTTGGTTGGGACTTGAATTGGAAGCAAAAATAGCAGTATGATTGGCGTATGTGGAAAAAAAGGTGTAAATGGATTGGGAGATATCAGCTGTAAAATCATTGTATAGATCAGTAAAGCTAAGTCACTACCTTGTAGAATTCTAGCATAAATTGGGTGGGTAGATGATAGATTGTTACCCTATTGTATGACAAAGAATTTATCTTCTTGATAAAATTTTAAAATAAGATATTAGCAGGCATGAAGAGTTTTAGTTTATATAGTAAGTCTCCATGCCAGACTCTGTCAAGATTTAAGCAATATCTAAAAAAAGTCTAGAACAATATTCTTGTTTTCAAAGAGCAGTTGAAATTTCGTCAGTTAGTTGACAAACTTGGTGTACCTAGTATAGAGTGCCTATTGTGAAATACAAATTGATTATTTATTAGTTATTATAGAGTTTTAAAATTCTTGCATAACACTTTTAACCCTTCATATGTTAGTGACACAAATAAAAACCATTGTTATTTATATGGTAAATATATATAATTATTTTATTGATTCGGATACTCGTTCAGATATTATTTAGACTGACATGTATAGAAGCTATTTGTTAAATCATCAAATACCGTATTATCAAACTTTTTTAAAATAAATGTTATGTGTTAAATAAAAATTTATAAGTATAACAAAAATAACATGGTTTTTATATACTACTATCTATGACATAAACGTGTTAAACTCAGTTCAAGTAGAATTATCAAAAATGGTTTTGCTTATATGTGTCTCTTCAATGGTGACTTATAATATAGTTGTCACAATTGTTATATTTGTTGAATTCGAAGTTTAAATCTATGCCTTAAAAGGTTAAATGAAACTGTTTGATTAAAAATAGTACAAACAATATGAAACATATACTAATAATAAGTTGAAAATAGACATCATATACTTATAATCTTATAAATGTATCCTATATTAGGTATTTTTGTTGGTGATTTATTAATTGCTAATTGGCTCTCCAAATATTTTTTGATAATCACTTGATATTTAAGTACTAAATAGTGAATAATATCTTCAAATTGTAAATTATAACCATTAAGAGTATCCTCTTGCGGTATCTTTATCATACAAACTTAAAGCATAGCAAATTGTTCAAACTGAATTTAACTCAGTTATGTTTTATATTAAAGTTAATTTACCTATTATCAAATTTAAAAATAAGAAAATAAACTAGTAAATTTTATAGACTTGTTTTTATATTTTTATTTTAAAGTGAATTTTAAGCATTTTAAAGTGTATAAAAAATTAAAAACTCATTTTAAAATAAAAATATAAATAAAGCCTACAAGGTAATATTTTTACTTCTAAATTATACCTAATGAGTGATGAATTCACTATTGTATTAAACATCTAAGGGTTAAACAGATTATTCAGAATGAAAAATTTGCTGTGTTATGCTCCTCTTAATCAACAGTTTCTTAAAGATTTTTTTTTTAAAGGATCTATCAGGATGATAGTCTGTTTGGTGTGTTTAATAAAACTAACTTGGATAATTTAATTAGAAATGTTATTTCAAATATTAGGTTTCATTTTGTTCGTTCTAATATTATTTATTATTTGTATAAATTTGGTTCATTATATTATAGCCTGGGAAGTTTAGATATTATTTTTATTATTTAAGTATGCATTCTTGTTTATTGGTATTTGTAATTTTATTTTAGTTAGATGAACTTTTTTTCATCAATATTTAATTTTGATGAATTTTTAGTTTAAGTAATATTTTTATATATTATTATCAAGTACCTATTGAATTCATATAATTTTTGGTACTATACAAATTTAGTAGTCATTTATACATTTACTACAATTTTCTATAATAATAATGTGTTTGATTATTTAATAAATAATATTTTATATTACTTATTTTGAAAAAAAATAATTACATAATTACGTCTTTTATTTTTGACTAATTTGTCAATACAAATAACTCATTGTCAAAACACTCCAGGTATTAAATACTAAAGATAAGATTATATAAAAAAAAAAAAAAAAATCATACAATCAATGACTACCTAATTTAATTTTAATTTTAATTAGTAAATGCAGTTGGTTGTCTCATGTAAAAGTAACCTTAGACAGCAACTTATATTTTCTGGTCCCAGTCTGACTATACTTTGATTAAGAGGACGTCGTACCCGCATATGTTATCTCCGTCTTACAAATGCGTAACATAGCAAATATTACGTTCAGAAGATCACGGTTAACTCCTTTAATTTAAAAATTAGAGTGAATTGACCTCTTTTGAAGTTTAAAAGTGAGATTATTATCTAGGGCATCTCATAGGCTTTTTATTATATTTTAATTTTAAAACAAGTTATGAGTATTTTAAAATTGTAAATTGCTTGCACGTCTTAAAACACACATAACTCGCTTTAAAATTAAAATATAATAAAAAGCCTATGAGATGCCCTAGATAATAATCTCACTTTTAAATTTCAAAAGAGGTCAATTCATTCTAATTTTCAAGCTGAAGGAGCTAAACGTGATCTTCTGAGAGTACTATTTGCCATGTTACGCATTTGTAAGACGGAGACAACATAATGCGGGTATGACGTCCTCTTAAATCAAATTTTGCTCTCAGTTTTAATTTTTTGACAATGTTGAAATATTATGTAATACTTTTGAGAGACTGGCACTCTAATTACATTAACCATACCAATTACCTTGATTGCTTACAAAATTAGTAATAAGCCCCTATAATATTAGTCAAAATATAGATATCTCATAATATAATTGTATTGAGATACTAGATACTCGATACAATTGTTTTTAAGATACGTTTCTAAGAAGATATTGCCCAACCCTAATTATTTCTGTATTCTCTCTATTGTTGATCCAATATTATCAAAAGTAATTAAATAGTCCTCTACAAGATAACTAGTTTGTTGTTTTAAAAAATAATTAAATATTTACTAAATGTATTTTAAACAGTAAATTTCTGAGTATTACAATAAAGTAAGACTGCATCTAGTTCCCGTAGAATATAGATATCTAATATAGGCATAGAGCCATAGATGTATGGTAAAAACTTAAAATCCCATTCAATATTAGACTAGAGCCTCAAGGAAATCACCTGTAACTACTCAATTATTCGCAAAATAAATATTAATTATGATAGTAAAAATCAGAATTGTTGATAATTTTAAATTAATTAAATTATGGTATTTATAAATTTAAATTTATTGCGCCTTTTACACGCATTATAGTATTGTACTAAAACAGTCACAGTTGGTAGATAGATAGGTGAGTGAAAATAATCGTAAAAAATAAATTTTTCAAAGTATTGCATTTTATATATTGCAATACTTGATACTTTATATAATGGTATTAAGATACTAGATACTGTCCAACCCTGGTTACATACTACTAAAACATAAATCTACATATTCTGCAAGATAGACCAAAAATTCAGTTTTTTTAGAATTGGCGACAAATCTAAAAAGAATAAATAGAAATCTAAGCCAAAACTATTTTTTAAATAAATATAATTAATGAAAGAGTTTTATCATTTCAAATTATTTAAGACTTGTGCTAAATTATAAGATTTTCATTCAATTTTTTATTAAAAACATTGAGTAATAAGAAATCACTTTGAATTCATAAGTTTTTCAAAATTGTTTATACTATAACAAACCCATAATCAATAAAATACAATTTTTTATACATTTAATATTGGATGATAGGTATCATCTGAATTATAAATAGTACTTGTGCAATATGCTACCTACTATAAAATGCTACTTACCAAAAAATTTTATAAGTAAACTTAACCATATTTTTGATATTCTTTCAACATAATTCTATAAATAATAACATTTTTTTAATTTAGAACAATTACCAAATTTTGGCAGCAAGTTTCCCTCTTAAAGATAATTAATACATGTTTCCTCATTAGAAATCAAATGCCCACACAAATCGCACATGGATTTATTAATTTTATTATTTTAAAAAACTGCAACGAAAAAACACTTAAACAAACACAACACAGACTAAAATAATATATTATCTAAAAATAAGTTATCGTGGGTCTGGGTGGATAATTATTAGTTATCATAATGGCTATTTAGTTATAATTATGTACTATATTAAAAATTATTTTGGTAGAAACAGTACTACACGAGTACCTTATTTTATAGATATTGTCTAATTCATTGTTATAAGTAAGCCAAGAAGTAAATGTGTTGACAAACAAAAACAAATTTTTCAATTTTTTTAATTCTACTTAATGATCATATATTTAACTTGTATCTAGTAAAATAAGAAGTAAAAATATTAAAATTATCATTCAATTGAATAATGATTATACTAAAATACAAGTAAAAATACTATCTGACAAAAATATTAATTTTTAATGAAATTATTTTTAGATCAAAGGCGACGATATACAAACAGGCAAATCTACCAAGTTATGTCAACGTTGTATGGAAAATCTTGATGTTTGGCGAGGACACATCGATCAAGCTAAAGCGTGTCAAACGGTGGTGAATTATTTATCTGATAAAGTACGTTGATTTTAATTAAAGGTTAAGTATTGTAATCGATAGATATATTGGTTTATATAAAGCTTTTAATTACCTATGTGTTCCTAAGGTTATTTTTCCAACAAAACTCTTTAAGTGATGAATGTATACTACTTATGCGATTGAGTTTATTTTTATTTTAGTAGGCAGTGGTGTAAGTGTATACTGTGTAACTTGAAATTTAATGGCCTTTTGAGGTTTATGGAGATGAAAACCGTTATTTTTAAACACAAAAAATTAAAACACCAAATAGTGACGCTAAAAGCTAATTAAAAAAAAAAAAAATAATATAATTATTTTACTTTTTAAAAATGAACATTTTAAAGATATTTATTTTAATTAAAAATTAGTATTTTCTCAGTAATTTTTTTAATTTAAAATACCTATAAAAAAATTTTGACATTCCTTTGGAGTTTCAGTTTGAATACATCACTGTTGGTATCTTGGTTACATAAAAATAATACTTTGGTCATACCTACGGCAGACTGATTATCCACTTCATATTTTTATAATTCAGAATTTCAGCGCTACATACAATTACATACCAGTAGAGCAGTGGCTAAGTTTTAGTTTGTTTGTGAATCTTAAAGTGACCAGAGTAGATCTTGTAATTTAAAAGGTCACTGTAATAAATCTGTTAATTTGAATTTATTGCATTAAATGAAAAATTATTCTTAACGTTAGGTAGGTACATTCCGATAGACTATATTTTTGAGAACATTTTATGTATTTGTTGATATATTACAAGGAATTTATTTTTCTATAACATCAGATCTTATTAATAGTTAAATAGTAAATTTTATGAATTTTTAACTATTCTCTTAAAATTGCATAATATGCTTAGTAATGATATTTAAAATTCAGATTTTACTTTAAGATACTTTTTAGTTTTTAAATTTTTTTTTCCGTGACATTTTGGGGGAGGGCATCGCTCCTATACCCCACTTGTATTTGTCCCTGAGTAACATCTGTTTAACCCCATCAAGTTAACTATATTATATATTATGTACACCTTACGCACAAGTTGGTCGCATAGGTTACATATATTGAGTAGAATATAGTAAAGATCAACATGAAATTATTATATATCACATAATGTTGAATATTGTCACTGTTCATTTAAAATGTTTAAATCAAAAATGTTTTCCATTTTTGAACTAAGTAAAATATTGTATATAGTATCCTTCATCAAAACAGCTGTTTTTTGGGTTTGATGTTATGAATTAACAGAGTCAATATAATATAGGTATAATTTGAATACTCCCACAAATATAATAAAACCAGATAAACAATTTGCTTTAATTTTGAATGGTTAAATGGCTGTCATAATCAAAGATTTCTGATAATATTTATCACCAAAATAAATTGGACTTTAGTTATTGCTTTTTTGTTCTTATTAAATACAGAATTGTAAACATTGACCTTTTTATAAGAAGCCTGCCTCTTTTTATACTTTAAAACATATTATAGAAATCTGAAGTTTGTCTAGTTACCTATGTCATATATTTGATCTGTCATTGAATCCATAAAAAAGATTCTTGACAGTGGTGGTCAACCAATGCTTGTCTGTCACCTATATCAAGTCTTCCATCCATATGCCTTTTATTTAATAAAGCTATACCCTTGTGCACAATTTGGTCATTGAGATTTTTTTTTAATATGTATGGATTATAGATAGCTGATTTTCTATAATTAATTTTCAATATCTTTGCCCATATTTACAATTTTATCATTGATAACAACTAAACGGCTTTAAACTAGTATATAGGTCTATAATAAAATCCAATTTATTTATTTATTTTTGGTTATCGTCATATCACATTTCAATGAACAGTTTGTAAACGCAGACTTTTTTTTATTAGAATTCTGCTGTTTTACCAATTTTAACATTAAAAACAAATTTAATATACATATTTGTAGTTTATGTCTATGTATATTTATTGTTATGATTTTATTTGCCATAGAAATGTATATTATTTACTTCTTCATTCTAGACTATAAATAGAGAAGAGCCATCCTCATTAGTTCCAATAAGAGTGAATGAAAATGCATTAACATCCAGTGACAACATGATTCAATTTCCATCAGAATCTATTCAACAATCTAGATCAGCATCTATTCAACAAATTCTATCAAGAGGTATAGAGCCTATTCAACATGGATCAGATTTTCCATCCACTTCAAATTCAACAGAAATTATTCCATTCCCATCAACATCAACAGAAATTATTTCATTCCCATCAACATCAACAGAAATTATTCCATTCCCATCAACATCAACAGAAATTATTTCATTCCCATCAACATCAACAGAAATAACTCCAATCGCATCAACATCAACAGAAATAACTCCAATCGCATCAACATCAACAGAAATTATTTCATTCCCATCAACATCAACAGAAATTATTCCATTCCCATCAACATCAACAGAAATTATTCCATTCCCTTCAACATCAACAGAAATTTTCTCATCAACACCAATTTCAACTAGAATGGAACCAATCTGGTACTCTGGGATAAATGAAATAACAAATAATTCATTTCCATCACAACAAGTAGTTCTACCTAAACCTCTTAAGATAGAAACTGCTTGTGTATTTTGCTTTTACCAGTATAATGAAGTATCGACAAATGTGCATAGAAATATTCAGTTTTGTACTAAACATTCCAAACCCCATACCTGTCTAGTTAAAAATTGCAATACAGTTTTTCCCAGTAAAGAAATTTTTTTTACACATTACCGTCATCATTTAAATCTTGACATTAATACTTATTTGTGTCGCATTTGCTTGGGTATCATAGATTGTCCTAGAAGAACAATGACAAAAAATCATACTCACCAAAATGTAACAGATTTATTCAAGTGCTGTTCTACTAACTTTACAACAATGATTAAATTTGTTCTTCATAAACTTGTATATCATGATACAGTTGTGATCATGAGTAACACCCGATCACATAACTTAAAAAAAATGAATCAGAATGTTTTGTTTCCAACAAAATGCAAAATTGAACCGTTTGATGTAAAAGATGATGTTACTTTAACCAGCAAAGAAGAACAAGATAAGGTAAATAAAGTTGATAATGGAAGTTATCAGTGTTCAGATTGTACTTCTCAATTTTTTAAAACAGTGAAAGAATATGTTGAACATAGTAAGAGAAAACATAAAAATACATTGATGTTGAAAGAATCAGAAATACGATTATGCCCTCTGTGTGATAACAATTATTTCTTCAGTAAATTTGTTGAGCATATTGAAAACTGCACAAATACTATGAAAATTGGCGATAAGAATTTAAATTGTTATGGGTGTATTCATTGCAAATGTATTTTTACAAAGCTAACAGCAAGTCAATTTCGTAATCATGTTTTGTTCTGCAAAACATTTAGTATAGTTACTATTGATAACAAAGCTTATAAGAAATGTGTTAATTGTACTTTTCAAACTTGTGATGATAATTTGGCTTTAACACATGCATCCTCTAATTGTCTATATTTTCAATTGAAAATGAGATATGCATTGGGACCTGATGAAAAAAAGAAAGTCTTACAACGAATGGAATTTGATGAAGAAATTTCAAAACAACAAGTGGATAAGGATTGTACAGACAATGAAGCTACTTCTGATACTTCAAAAGTAAAGTGTGATACAAGTAGACAATATTTACTTAAATCATATAACTATTTTTGTAATAATTGCCATAATCTTTTCTTTGATAAACATACTTTTTTACATCATATGACTGTGCTAGGATTTAATTGCCGATCTAATACATTGGTCTACTGTCAAAGATGTCTAACTGACTTCAAAAGTGAAACAGATTTTATTAAGCATTTGCCTAATATGCCTAAAGCAGCACCTTTGATTTCAATAAAATCAGAAGAGATTGATTCGAATTCTAATAATACCGAAGATATTATTATAGAGAGTGTTATTGAGCATAGTAATCAAAATGGTAATGATGGTAACTATAGTTATGATGGTTACAATAGAAATGATGTCAAAGTGTTTGAAATGAATGGCAATAGATATTTTCAAGGACAAGGAGTTTCAGGTACTGATGTAAGAAGTAGTGTGCAATTTTCAGAACCAGGAGGTTCTAATGATTATACCGATCAAGAAATGGAATTTAACACCAACGACAATTACATGCAATGTGTAGTCGAAGAGAAACCAGATTTGAATCAAATAATGATGAATAATAGTATGCAATAACATGTGAAAATCACATAAATTCGATCATTTTAAAACTAAATTTAGTTTTTTACACCAAATTTTTTACTTAAATATTAGTACCTAATATTGTTATTAATATTGATTACATAATTTCTGTAATTCTTTTAAACAAGTAATCCTAATAGCTATTAACCTAAAAATTACCTATTCTATATTATTATTTTTTTCTTTTGAGGAGAAATATAGATTATATTAAATTTGTAGACCCACTATCATGACTGTAATTGTACAATTATTATGTAAGTAATGATAAAACTTATTCATTACTTAAAAATTACACTAGAACACTTTTTATATATTTTATTTATATACTTAGTTTTGTTTGTTGTTTTTAATGTTAAAACCTTAACATTAATTTAAAATATATTTTATGCTTCAAATAGCATACAATAATATTGATAAAAAGTTACTATATTTTAGTACATTATCTTAGACTGATTTGTTTTTTATTCATTCTTAATTTAAAGGATAACCTAAATATTTATTTATTGTCGTATATTATAAAATGTACTGCATTTAAATGTAATATTTGTTTATTATTATTATTATTTTTTTTTATTTTGCATACTTGATTAAGTGATAACTCAAAAGAATATGTATGCAGAATAGTTTATTTAATTTTGACTATAATTTTTTTATATACATATTATATGTACATATTTTACTTATTATTTATTTATGTTAAGACAAGTATGACTATTTTTAATTTAATTTAAACGTTTAAACTGATTTGACTTTATTTTTTAAGATGGTTCACTCTACTTTGTATATACCAAGCTTTTACATATGTAATATATAATATTTTTTCTTGATTTACTAGAAGTATCCCTTTATACTTTTTTTTTTGTTTTTTTTTTTCATATATTGATGTTTTCATATAAAAAAATACCATAAGATCTATTTTTTATAATAATTATTTGTCAGTAATCAGTGTAACTTAATATTAAATAATCATACTTATTTAATTATACTCTATTTAGTTAAAGATTGATTCATTTGGCCAGCCAAAGTTTGTCGAGTCTTACTATTTTACTGCTCCCACTATGATTTATGATTCTGTATTTGTGGTGACGGCACCGTCACTAAGATCAACAATAGCTGTCAAATAATTGTCAAATCAATGATTGAATGCATAGTGTTAGCTAAAGGGTCAGACAGTGATCCACGCTGCAGTCTCTGTTTATGAAAGCAGTTCAATCTCATTCTGAATAAAGAATAATGTATGTTAATTGTAATACTTTAATTTACCTGAAATGTCACGTGGATTAATTACATTTGTTTTCTCTAGTTTTAATTATATTACACACCATTTAAATTAAACTTTGTTCTTAAAAACTATTGTATGATATATATTTTAAGCTCTTTTTGTGTATAAAAAAAAACTATTCAATAATATAATTTATTATTTATTATTTTTTTTTTTATAACAAAACATTATCATTAAAATAAAGTTTTTCTTTTTGAAGTTCATAATATTATTTTAGAAAAATTTTCAAACAACTAAAATTACATTATTATATAATATATTATTATTTATTATTATGCCATATTTTAGATTTAATAATGTAAAAACAAAATTATAAAATACATGCTTATTGTGTAATATATATATATTTCTTTCATAATATATCAAAAAGCAAAAAATGAAAAATGGTCCTAAATCTTAAAACTGTTAAAACATACATTGTTGTTTGATTACAGTTAATTTTTCTTTACGCTATTTAGGTAACTTGTAACACCGAGAAATTGGTCAAGCCAATGTTTTACAAATAACTTAAACATAATTACTCCAAAATTATATACATTAGTAATAAATATTATGTTTGTATATAATATAATGTATAAGTCTAATAAAGATTTTAAATATTCAAAAACAATTTTTGTTTTGATATGGTTAAATACAGAAAAAATAGAGTGAAAATGTCTACTAATATAGAGGTTCAGCGTATATATTATATCATTACATAAGTATATGTAACTTAAGTAACATAAGTATATGTTGATAAAAAAAATTTTTTTCTGTCAAAAAAATATAAGCACTCTTACAGTATTAGTCGTATAAAGGTACCTAATTTTTTTCATTATTCTCACGTAATACAATCAAAATAATATCTCAAATTTATTACTTTGAACTTAATAAAAAGAAATAATAAATATCGATATTAAAATGACCGTTCTATTGTTTTTGACATGTCGCGTGTGCAGTGATTTTTATATATACCTATGAATATATACTGTTGGACAATAATTAATAAAGATCGTTTAATAGTTTGGGTAAGTTACATGGCCATTCTTCTCAAACGCGCCTTAATTACATTCACATGATTTTAATTACTGCCAACGATGTTAAACCCAATACCTATATTATAATTTTGATTTCGCTATAACGAAAGTTGAATTTTTATTGTGACAGATTGTCTTCGATTGATGACTTTTGAAAAGAGCTTGCAATAATAAAAATATTTGTGGGTGCGCGTTATTTGTTTATCGACATTGATGAAAAATACCTAAATTCAAAACAACGGTCGACCGCTGACGAAACACATAAATAATATATAATAAGTGTGTCATGGTTATTGAAAATAACAGAGGTACCTACCTAAGTGAGTTTTTTACGTTGAAAGCGTTCTCTGAATTGAGTAAAAAATATAAAAAATTGAACGACCAAACGAGTGCCTAAAGTTAGGTTTGTAGGAAAAAAGAGCTCGTCATGTTTATATTCTATGTTATGGTGAGTGCACGCGTGCGTTTAGTAGTGCTACGATGTGGCATCAAATATATCATCAATAATGTTGTGCATCGAGTTTGAGTCTGAGCGTATCACACACATAACGCAGATATTTATGAAATAGAAAAACGCGTACGATTATTATTGTGATAGGTTAAAAATATTGGTGCAAAATCTAGTTGGTTTTACACTAGAGTGGAAAATAAGAAGAAAAACGTTTAATATTATTGATCGATTGCTATCGATTATACATCATATAATATTTATTTTTAGTAGGTTTTTATGGGAACGAACAGTGTTTAAAATAAGAAAAATTGCACGACGTTTAATATCTATCGAGGAGTACCTATAGGTACCTTAATATTTTATCTTTTTGATATAGGTTAATTTTAATCTAAAACAAAAATTAAACACGTGATGGACCTTTTATTTCATCTACTTTTCGATTGTTATTAATTAAATATTATATTTTAACAGCAGTGCGTGTGCTCCACAACGTGTAAAGGCCACATATTAGGTACGTTGTTTTTTTTTTTTTAAGAAGGGGTATATATGTAATAATATATTCTAAAAATTGCACGTAGAAAATGTTAAACGGATGAAAATGTTGGGTCGATGGGAAATTATTTTCGATTGATATTTTAATTGTGTATCGTGCGGTTATTATTTCAATATAGTCATACTAATATAGTTAATATCACGATGATAAAATGGCAACGGTTGGTTTGAGTGTTTGTAAGTTTTATTGCATAATATTTATGTAGGTAGCTAATTTTTATATAGGCATCACACTATTCACACTATGAGATATTTCAAGCAATACAGGTGTACAATGAATTAAAATACATAGTTAATTATATTTTATTTTAGATTGTCTGTTATATTATGTAATATATTATTATTGTTATCGTGTTTCATCGTATAATAACATAACAAGTAAATTGGTAAAGAAAAAATTGTCCAAACTAAATATATGTATATAATATTTAATAGGTATATATTATTATATCAAATAAATTGAAAACGATTTTAATGGAAAATTGTCAGTCGCATTTTACGAGTGTTTAAATTTTTTTTTGGGGGGTAGGAGAGGTTAAAGTATCTTATACATTACGAAAGTCGGTCAACTAAAATTACAGTCATGTTTCTAGGTCATAAAAAACAGTCTTTTTTTTTAAAAAAAACATCTATTTTTAATTAAATTTATTGATTTCGAGGATGGGATTGAGAGGCAATAACATATATAATACGTAAATACAACAATACTATTTATAGGTAAGACGGTACCTATGTTTATCAGCGTAAAACATTTAACAACTGTTGTGGAGGAGGTACCTATTTCACGTTGGAAGACAATGGGACCAAAGCACTCTTAAATATAAGTTTTATTTTATATAACATATTAGGTATAAGACTATAGGTTCAAATGGTTCAATACTAAAGACTGCTGATTCGTTTAATTGGCGACATAACCGACGAGGGATCATCGTGTACACAAATATGTTTCGGAGAAAATAATAATAATACATAATTTACTATATTCAGGTACCTAATGTATAATAATAATTAATATTATATTATAATTATAACACGTTAGACAAACATTTCGGTCGAGTAGCAAAACGTTCAATATTTAGGTACTCGTGTAGGTATATATATAGGTAATCTCATATGACATATATATATATAATATACTATATTCATTAAAAAAAAATAAAGTGCAAAGTAAAAAATACAATTTTCGTTTCATATTATATATATAAATATATGCAAGTAGGTATACGTATATTATATACATATATATATATATATATATATATGCATTACATTTTTAGTATATGAAAAAAATGCCCTACGGCTTAAATTGTAATCACAAAAAAATATATATGTTTATAAATGTATTATTATTACTATGTATAATATATGTGTAGGTATATATTATATTATATTATATTATAATTAAATAAAAAAAAAAAGAAAAACTTACTAAAACGATAATTTTGCTACTTACAAAATAATAGTGTCTAACTCTAAAAAAAAAACCCAAGTATTTCATATAACTTTAATATGTATATAAAGAGTAAAAAAATACCAAATAAGTTAAAAAATTATAATAAAACATTTACTAAATAAAACTTTTAATTTAAAGCTTCAAAATTAAAAAAAAAATCGCATGCAATTTTTTAAATTGGATAATATTATATTTATCTATAGGTATAATGATGAAAAACAATAATAATGATTTTTTTTAAGTAAACCTCGATTTATGTTGCAAAATGCAAGTACAAGTTAATAACTGGCGAGATCCATCGATAAATTTTCCAGTATAACAATTTTTAAATTAAATTTTTCATAATATTGTCATAACAAAGTCACTACATTTCTACAAAAGGACATTTTTAAATAATATATTTAATTTTTACTTTACGTATTTCCTAGGCCGATTTTCAATATTATTACAAATATTATTTATGATTATTATTATTATATTATTATTAAACACCTATATGTATTTCACAATTATTGCAATAAGATTGTTCCTGTTCAGTTTTAAATATTACATGTTAGAGCAAGAAATTTAAAGAGAATAATCATGATTTCTAAAAATCAGGTAAAAGATAAAAATGTTAGGGAGATTCTATGTTTAGAAATATTTTAATATGAAAAACGAACTAATTTAGTTTAATATTATGATTTAATTTTTTTTTTTTTTTTTTTTGGTTTTTGTTTTTGTACCTATTTAGAACTGAATATTTGATGTTCACAGAACACATATTTGACATAATACATTAATGTAATGGATCACAAATCAATTGTTTAATCAAATATTCAAATAATATATTTCTATATAGTATACGTGTATATAATAAGTATAATATTAACTTATACGTAAAGAAATATCTTTAATTATTATCATCGGACTCTAGGTAAATTATATGTTTATATATAATGTACGTGTTATTATTATAATAAATTAAGGTCTAATCCTCTCATTGGTAAAAATATGTTATTTGTTAAAAAAAAACATCTCATTAAGTCTGTACGATAAGTCATAACTTGCTTAAAAAAAATAAATTTATATATGCGTTAATTTATAAATATTAAAAAGTTTTAGTCAAAAATAAGAAAAGGAAAATAGTGTAAAAAAAAACTAATAATAATACTTGTGGGTGATTAATCACATATTATAATAATGTATATCGATGTTATTAAAATTTTATTTATTTATTTTGTTATTATATATTTTATTTTATTTTTTCCAAAGAGAACTAACATTTTTTTTAAAGTGCCTGCATGAATGATTGAATATGTATTATAGAAGTTGAAATATTCTTCGAATATTGGCCTAATTACCTACATCGATATAATATTTGAAATGTTGTTAATAGAGATAATTATAATTTTAGAAGCCGATAGATAATAGTAGTTTATATATTATAAATAGATAATGTTTTAAATAATGATAACAGATAGATGAGACCAGCTCGCTGTAGCCACATGAATAAAATATAGAATTTGGAAAAACGGAAATAATATAATATAATAACGGTTGTACCTAACCTACCTAAAAATGAAATATAAATAACTTTCATTATTTACGTTTAATGGTAGAGAAGAGGAAGGCGCGCCAGAGGGTTTACTTATGTATGTAAATAATATGTAATATATTAAAAGAGGATATTATATAAAAAAAATAATAATAATGATAACAAGGTGGGCGGATGGAGGGGGATGGGGCGGGTCGGTCTTAAACCATGTAACTAGGTCAAGAGGGGTGTGTGGGCCACGTTGGGTGACATGGGGGGGAGACGGTTTGGTGGTGAAAGGGGGCGCTCTTGACCGTCCCTCCTCAGCTAAGCCGACTGAAATCAGTTAGCCACCAACAAATGTTGGAAAGGACTGGACCTGTACGACGACGATGTCGACGATCCCAATCCCATGGCGTTGTAGTTATCCTGCATCTTTTGCTGTTGCTGTTGTTGCTGCTGCTGGTGCATCGGAGTCGCGGCGGACTGCATTTGTTGTCCCGTTCCATAGTTGGCCGGTGACAACGGGCCCATGGGTGAGCCGCCAAAGTGCTGTGGCCCGAAATCGCCGCCGAAGTTTTGCCAACCGCTTGAGCCGCCGTTGGAAAACTGCAATTGCGGTGGTGCGTAATCCGCGGTGACCATGTTGCCGCTGTTCCGGTGATAACCGTTGGACTGTCGCGGCCTTTGGTAACCGGCACTACCACCACCTTGGTGGTTGTTGTTGTACTGCTGCTGCTGGAAAAAGTAGTTGGAAGCCGCGTCGCCGTTTTGACCACGGTGGTGTTGCTGCACCGGTGATACCGGACGTTGCTGTTGTTGCTGCAGACCACCACCGACCACAATTTGTTGTTGCTGCATGGCCGCCCGTTGCTTTATGTAGTTTGCAAACTCGGTTGGCGACATCCTGTGGAAAACGAAACAAAAGTCAGTCAAGTCGTTGGATTTCAGCGAAACGCTTTCTGTACGCTTTGAGTTATAACTCATAGTACCTACTACAGACGCATGCTACAGCGTTATACGTACCGATATCGTATAATGTTATGTAGGTACATATTTCCTTAATGAAAATTTAAAAAATTACAAGTTCTCTAAATTCAATTACTGAGCATAGCCTAACTAAAAGTTACTTGATTCATGTGAAATAAACAGCTATGCTTAACGATACGGGATTTCCCTACCCTACCTTAGATAGATAATTATTGAAAAAGACGAAAAATTCCAGAATCCACGATAATCTAATTAAAACCGGAAAAGTTTTTTATTTAAAAATCAGTGAAAAACTTTAAGCCCATAATCTAAAAACCTAACCTAACCTAACCCATAGTCTAAGACTTCGTCTGCCGTAAGAAAACTCTTTCCTGTATTATAAACATATTATGTCCCATATATAATGTATTATAGGTACGTTTAAACTTTATAACGCGATCGGGGTCCATTTAAAAATGTATGTTCAACATATTATTTAGACGTTAGGAACGAGAGAGATCCAGTACACTTACATCCCACCCACTTCCTCTAAGCAAAAATCCGCCAACGTCATTTTTTTGTACTTATATATTTTTGGTGGGTATAAGATTAAGATTATGATTTTATTAACTACCAATAATTATAGTATTTGTGTATAGGTAAACACACTATTGATTAGAGTAAGTACTTAAGTGTATATTATGTACATTAAAACAATATAATTTCGTTACATAAGTGCAATGCACAATATTATGAGTGGAATAGCGTTTGAAACGCATCTGGAATTATAAAACGTTTTAAATTTTGATTTTTTAGATTTCTACTGTTTTTATTTATCTACGTATTCAGAAAATATTTCGTTTTCATTGATAAACAATTAGTAAAAAATAAATTAGATTCAATATCTCTCTTTTCTTTTTCTTTTACCCATGGAAATTTGACAAACGGCGTATTTTTCAATTGAAAATTCGAACGCGAAAAACCGACGATGACATATATTAAATATTTGAACATGACGTCGTCAGTCGTTTATTATAGATATAGATTAGATGTAACCATGCATGTAGACTATACGCTTGTTATGTACATTTATATACACATTACGCGTTTTTGAAAAATGTTTACTGCTACCATATAATCATTGCAAATATTTAAATTATAATACAGTGGGTGTGATTATCATTATCGTTAATTCGTTGGCCAATAAAATATCGCTAGGAGGTGAAAGTGGCGCTTTGAATGGATTGCTATTATGGGTTATTAGGTGTATAAAAACTATCTATTGCTTATTTTAATTTACATAATGATAATATTAATTAGGTAAAATTGATATTGATCCAATCTACGATGAACTCCCCTTCCCCCTTAAATCCGAATAATTTTTTATCTACAAATTTTGTTTATTATTTGTTTTCATGGCGATGATTAATCGATTTATTTTTAGAATACTGTAATTAATTATCGGAGGCTGTAGTTATTTTTACTTAGTCTACGTAAAGAGTAATAATAAAAAAAGTGTAATATTTTTATAGATTATGGCCCAAACCTGATTTACGTCTTTAGAGTTTTCAGTGCTATTATCATTATAATTTATAAACAAGTGTGTATTATTGCTTTCTAGACACCAATGTCGCAGATTAATGGTTCAATAACCGACAAAACAGCTAAAATATATTCCGCAAGCTTTTGAGGACATTGTCACAATTGAGAATACGCGTTTGTTATAGGCGCCATTTCGTTTGACACTTTTTGCAGGCGCATAACCTAGTGCGTTGGTATAGAGGTATAGTACATATAAATTATATACATAATAATGTTGTATACACTCATACATAGGTATCTGAAGGTATATATATGTAATTTAATCTGCAGTATAGGCCCACTACTGCGCTGTGACGTCGTTTCACAATACGAACTAATAGAATGACCTCTATGTAAAAGAAGAGAGAGAGTGAAAGAGTGAGAGAGATAATATAAAAGGTATATATGCATGCCACGATAATTCGCGTGCCCAATCGACTGCAACAACCAATATACGCATAATTAATTACATGCAACAAGCGCGTGTATATATAGGATGTCCCAAACAAGTAAACATATATAGGTATAGGCATGCACACGGGGTATATGCAGGGTATAACTTTATTGCAGTATATGCATACTCCGACATCCAAGGAAGAGTCCATTTTTATTCGAGTGAATAAAAATGTTTTCTTCAAAAAAAGATCATTGTTTATTAATTTGACCTTTGAAGTTTTTAAAAATTGTCTCTGGAAATAAATGTTAAAGAACTTATGGAGCGAATTAAAAATTCTGTATTCAGTTATAATTTTATAAAAAATTTTATGTTTTAAAGATAATAAATAATTGTGTAATTTAATTATACCTTCGATTTTTTTTAGGGAAAAAGTCCAATAATTGTTTTTGTTGCATACATTGCCTGCAGTGAACTCTACTCATGCCTATTTATTTATTGTAATTATGTAGGTATATAGCTATATGCCTATATAGTAGGTTTATAGACATAATATAGCAATATACCTAGGTAATATAAAATCACATGAAATCTTGTCTCGAAATTCATACCTACTACCTACAGTATAAATATATATATATATAGATTATAGATACGTTTCTATGTATATACCTACCCATAATATAATAGGTGATATTCACCGTGAAGTTACCCGTTGTTTTTGGTATGCGCCCAAAAATAAATTTATACTATATAGGTATCTTATATATTATAGTCATTCGTAGTCTGATCTAACCTTCAACTTACATACGACTACTGGTGTTAACCCTACTAATACCGTTTTAATAAATACTAATTTACGCAGAGCGAGAGAATAGATATTATATTGCGTGGACATCCCAAAAAAAAAAAAAAAAAATCATAATGGATCAGTTCCTTCTACCTAACAATAAAAACTAAAACTAAAAAAGGATAAAATTTCAAATATATATAAATAACTCAAAAAGAGTAAAATATTTAAAAATTTGTAACGTTTATAAGATCATAATATAATTAATATTTAATCAAATTTTCAAGTCCCTTAATTATTTCTTCCTCTGTTATAAAATTAAACAAAATTAATTTTGCTAAAAACTATAGTATTGGTAAATATTTCTACTTTTTTTTTTTGTTATTTTAAAAATTGAAAATTTTTAGTCTTCGCATATTCATCTTATTACTTAGTATCTAAAATAAAATATGGAGATATAGTACGAAAGATTCAATTTAAAATATCTATCTAGTACATAGGTTAGTAAATAAAGGACTTTTGTAGCTGAAGCTTGCTTTATCTTTTATTTCCAATGTTTTTTTATAATTCAAACATATTAATCTATTAACCTAAAAAATATCAAAATAATATTGATGTTAAATTTATCTCTTCTAAGTATCTTTCTTATTCAACAGTGCTAACATGAATATCCTACTATTCAAAGTTGTCCATGGACAATAAAGAAAAAATCATGAATCATAAAACTTAAGTATACACATAAATCGTAAATAAAGCTAACCTGTATAACCCTCCGTACGTATATATATATATATATATATATATATATTATTATCATAGAAAGTGTATGCAGTGGGAATGTATTTATATACTTTACTATATTATATTATATAATATACAAATATTATAAAAAATTTTATAATTGAAATTTTTTCTAAAACTCGAAAAATCGTCAACGCTACTACTATTTATTATTATTCTTCCGATTGCACAGTTGTGCAGTAACCCACCCACCAGATGATCACGCCCTCGTCCTCGTGATCCATCAATTCAAATTTAACACCACGGCACGTATAACGCATCGTCATGGTCAAAACTGTAGGTACGTTTCCGCCTACTTTTCTATGAAATCAGTCATCAGAAACCTGTTAGCTCGCTTGTTGTTGGACTTGAGTTTGGTGCTGCCGAACTTGGTCTGCGCAAACGAGGCAGTAGTAAACGTCAACGGCACAGACGGCTGTCGACACGGCACGTAAGCCCCGCCAGTAGCGACCGCGACTGCGGGTCCGCCACCGTTCGGGCTTCGTGGCTGCTGCTGCTGCTGCTGCTGTGACGATTGCTGACTGTTGCCATTGCTAGCAGTGCTGCTGCTGCTGCTGCTGCTGCTGCTGCTGCTACTGCTGCTGCTGCTGCTGCTACCGCCACCGCCGCCACACGATTTGCCGAACAACAGCGGATTGTGCTGTGGCTGTTGTAGCTGTGTTTGTTGTTGCAGGTGATGAGGATGGTGTTGGTGTTGGTGATGGTGGTGGAGGTGATTATGATGCGTTGGTGACGAGTTATTGGAACCACTGCCAAGCGTCGGTGAACCGACCGAGCACTTGTCCGGCGGTGAAATGCTTAGAGAACTTAAACTGGACGCTACCGAATCGATGGGCCGGAAACACTGTGCTTCGGGGTTGAACGTTTTAACGACCTGTAAGACACGCAAACACAAATTATTATACAAAAACGATGAAGCTGTAGTAATAATAATATAAAATGTATAAAATGGGTTATCAATGTTATGGATTTACGTGGCGTTTTTAAAATGAGCTTGAATAGCTTCAACCTATAAAGGCGTGACCCAATCGATAGAAGCCTATTATATATTATGTATAGGTACAGTATGAGTTCTGAACATGAGGTGCACTTATTTTTTAATCGATTGTTAATTTTAAATTTTTGCTCGATAAGTACTTTTGATACTAAACAATTATAGGTAGGTGATGACAAAAAAAAAAAAAATAGTGAAAATTTGTTTTTTTTTAAAGGTAAACTATTTTGTAATATAATAAATAGTTCTAGGTAGGGTACTTAAACTTGTATATTATATGATAAAATTTAAAACTACAGAGTTCAACGAGAAAATAAGTGGATTACATTAAAAAAAAAATCACCCTGTATGTGAACTGTGAAGGGATTAATTGTTTTAGCTTTTGTCGTATTGTTAGCTTGCACGCATTTAGTTTAATATTATACATTATATGTGTGTGTGTGTGTGTGTGTGTGTGAAATGTACCTACACTCGAACCGTATATTTAAACTTTCGTTTATTAAAGCAACGTACCTACACTGAAATATGATATGCGTTCCGATAATTCCAATAGCTAAATCACCTTTAAACTTTTATTTTCCATTGTACAAAAATAATTTCTTTTAATATTTAACTTCCCATTACTCTATTCTTTCAACGAAAGATTTTTGTGCCTTTACAGACAGTAGTCTAATACAATAATATAGATTTTCATTTTATTGTAACACCGTGACCTATTACATTTAATCAAACCATTTCATAAAATAACACTTAATAAAAATACTGACCCTTCACCCAGATCCTATCAAGACCTCCAATCAACCGCAACATCACTTAGACCTCCTAGAAATATAGTACAAAGACTGAAGAATAAAAATTAACCAATCAAAATCTTAATACTGCACTTTTACATTAAGACGTAATAACCCCCTCCCATATACCTGAACAATATTTTACTTCTTTCTACTCAAAATGTTCGTTACCTTGTATTATACCTCGACCGTCGACTAATCTGGGCAGCTCACATCAGTAACAAACAAACCTCTCTAAATAACAAATTTCGACTACTCAGATCTCTTCTCACTTCAAAACACCTCAAATTAAACAACAAATTTCTAATCTACAAAACCCTAATTAAACCCATTTGGACATATAGGATCCAACTATAAGACTCAGCCAAATCCTTCAATCTAAACCGTATATACAAACATTTTAATCTAAATGTCTTTGCCAAATCACTAAATCCCCTAGTACTATGTAACTAACCTCACACTCCATCAAGATCTTTCGATTCCTCTGAACTAAAAAGTCACCATAACTTCGTATAAAAAATTTCATTTCCGCCTGCAAAACCTTCCAAACTCTCTTATCACCAATTTATTGAATCCTACCATCTCTGACGATCCCGGTAGACTATTAAAGCGTAACTGGTGCCGTGACCTACTAGATAACTAAAATCAACTAGATATAACGACAACAAAGTACCACCAGGGTGGCCTCTTCACTCCAGACATCTTCAACGACCATAAAATAGATTAAAAATATGCAGTGCTAACCTATAGAGAAATAAAAATATAATTGTTGTCTTGTACCAACCAAAATAAAAATAAATAAATCGGTTTCTGGATGAATTTATATAAATAGTGGTAAATGTTTACATATAATTAACTACGGTAAGCACGTAGACGAAATAACAATCGACCAAATTGTTTTGCGGTATACAGTATACTCCTAATAAATGGTTGGGAATGCGTAACCATGATATTTTCCGTTGGACGTTGGTCAATCGTTTATGAAAAAATCACGGCTGCCGTCGTTTCCTCGCCCATCCGTTCTTTATCGTACAGTTTTTGCATTATTACCTATTATTTTTTTTTTTTTTGTCCACGATTCACAATTGCGATTTATAACATAATATACCTAATGCTGTACTTGTGTAGTGGACTAGTGCGACGAAATTCCGGCCATGAATCTCAATCTATATTCTATAATCAACTGTTTTTGTGCCGTCGTACACGTTGTATAATGTATAATAAATCGGGTTTAATATGAGCAATCGAAAAACTACAGTTTTGATGATCAACTTCGGATTGACGACTCGTGCCGCCTATTTTTGGAGGATTTTCGACATTCACTGAGGTAGGATGAACACAGTCACCTTTATAATTTACAGGTTCCTTACGGTTTTTTACATCTCTACGACCTTTATTTAGAAATTATAATTTATTATGCATAAGTATTATTAAAGTGTGTGGGATAAGTTCAGAAATGTTGAAGAAAATGTTGACAAAATAATTGCGTGACGCGCTGTACAATAATGCTCAATATACCACACTATATGTCTTTACCATCATATTATACAATATATAATATATAATATTATACATATATAGGTTTATAAAACATCAAGTGTTATCGTGTTTTTCTATTAATACGTTTATAAGCTGGTATATATGAGCATTTTGATGTCATATCACTGTAATAACATGAAAGTGTTTAAGTAAACTGTATAATTGTTGTGCCTTGCACAAATGTATCCGCCATTCAACCTCGCGTTCAGATTAACTCCGCTACGCACTGCATCAAATTGTTATATTATAAGTTATAACAAATATTGTTGTATCAATAAATTATAAAACAATATTTTTATTTATTAAAGAATAACTATGTTTATATTTACTAAACCTACCGACTAACATATTAATATTATATTTAAAAATGTATGGGCGATATGCCTCGAGAGGCAAGCAATATTTTGTTATCTATTGATGGTTCAAAATTCAAAATATTATAATTTTAGAACTCACAAGTCTAATTATTGTATAAAAATAGTAATAAATAAGTTCTAAACAGATTCCCAAAATGCATACAAACAAATTATATTTTAATTTTTATTTATCCAAACGGGTCCTACCCTAAAATAATATAAACACGTATTACCTCTCTATCGGCGGTCCGGTCGTCGTGGGTGTCAAAGTGGAGACCACCGCTATTCTCGTTATACAAGATTTTCACGGCTCCTTTCTCACCAATGCGGTAACTAACTTCGCCAGGGTCCACCCATACAGCCAGATCCTGCGGCAAGTTCTCCAGGATGTCCTGTATGGCTACGCCACTTTCACGGGACGCCTTCTCAAACACCGGGTCGATTGGTGATCCTGTTTTGATACACCGGTATGCCGAGCCGCGGTACGGTTTCTCCGGGTACCAGTGCCCAGCAAATTTCTCCGTCAGGCACTTTTCCAGCTCTTCTCCAAATATGTTCACTCGCCGTCTAGGTAATTTGTTGTACAGGTACGAGATCACAAAGTTCAACGCTACGCTAACCTCGATATGCATCTTGACGCGATTTCTGAAAAATAATATTTAGATAATGTATTAATATCTATATGCTATGATATAACGATACACTAATACTATAGATAGTAAATAGTATAATATAATATGTTCTTTACAGTTGGCAGGTGGTTACATATTTACATAAATTTAAATTTTAAATTTAAGCTGTAGTAGGTAACTATTGAAATTTTATTTTAATATTAAAAATATATATATATATATATATATATATATATATGATATAAAAAATATTTGTAAAATTCATCATGTACCTATATTATTTTTAAGTAATTGAATATTCTGATAAAAAATGATTCGGATACAGAGTAAATAAAAATCAATGAAAAAACATATGGCGCACGATTAACGTAAAGCTAAAACAAAATGCTATAGCATTGTTAAAATTAACATGTTTTTAATTAAATATGACAAAAACTCTAATAATACAAAATAACATATTTATGACCTATATCATAAATTCATAAGTTATATCTATTATGTCCTTATTCATATAAACTTCGACAAATATTGTTTTCACGGTGGATAAAATTGCAATAAATGTAAGTTTATAAATTGTTGAGATAAATTTTAATTAAATTTTTATGTGAACATTCAGACATTGATATCGATAGAGGCCAAAGGGTACACACGCACACACACACACACACATATATATATATATAAGTACCTATAATACTATACAGAAATCATTGTCGATTGGAACACGATTATTATTACAATTATTACTCTAGCAGGCATTGTGACTGTCGTGGTCGTACGCACTCGTACAATATTCAATCGTTATCCATACTTTTAAATTATCTAAGATATACTAAATCAAGTAAATTTAGTTCATTTCGAGAAAAACTATATTTCAGAAACATCAGTATATAGCATTGTTAGGTACATGCCATATGGTCTATGTGTGGAATATGATGTATTGATGTGGTGTCAATACCGGCAGAACGGCTTGAAATTAATAACTCATTGACCTAGAAACATATGACCGATTGTAAATGTACCTACTCATATGTGTGCAAAGGTCGTCATCATGGAACAAGCGGACAAATATTTTATTATTCCAAGATCTTGGCGCCGCTTTCGGCTATAAAACAATATCGTTAAAACTAGAGTATATCGGATACACTTCAACACTTGTTACTTGTATGCATATTAGTACGTATAACGTAACTATAATACTATGTCTCACATATCTTCTATACGTTACATATATATTTAGAAATTAAACGGAATTGACATAAGTGCATTATTATGTTTTAATATAATTACCAAATTGAACGTAACAGGTCAATCGATACGATTATTCGACGAATGCAGCGGCAGTACTGCATCAACTGAAACGGTTCGCAACACGTCACTATGGGAGTATGTCAAATATTTCCATCATACAGGGTTTTACACGATCATATATGTTACTTGGTATATAATATTTATAAGCACTTAACTGATCGGACTCAAATTTACACATTTGTTTGCAACACTGCACACCGTTACGCGTGTATACCTAAACTGAATAATATCCGCAGTCCGCACAGGCCAACCTAACAACTAATTAACATCCGACTACTGGGCACAATATACCTACGTGCGCATTACGATTACGCGCGCACGCACACAATCGTATATAATATATATATATATATATATATATATATATATTTATAATTGTAGATAATTGATATTATTGTATTAGGTATATTATATTATGATATGGTATATATGTATACACACACACACACACACACACACATACGACATACACAAATAAGTAAACGCAATAATAATAATAGGTAGGTATATCGTATTCGAATGTAATATATAACATAACTCGAAGAGCAACACTGCAGCATAAGGTCGCATACAGCGTTGGCTCCGGTTAAAACGGCCTAACCTATATATTCGCACAGCAACGATGGGTATATATATATATATGTATATACTTTAGAACCGTTCAGCCCTAACCAGGATGTTTGGCATCGTTATTACGGCCATTGTTCGTATCGCGACTGAAGGTCGAACTAATATAATGACATAAATCGCAATAATATTACATATATATATATATATAATAATCTATTGTACACATGTAATGGGCTGTTTTTCGTCCGTTGTTGCAGTGCGTTTCGTTTAGCACCATAGTAAACGATATACCTGTCTTTTCTATATACTTACCGCTATCAATATATTATAATAGTATTGTAATATTAAAATGTTTATAGTAAAAAGTAACCCACCATATTAGTCTTCACTCTGGAGAATGTTTCTTGTCAAAACTTTAAGACTTGCCCAACTACATTACATAATAAAAATCAGTAATTCATTTTTTATATTTTATATTGATATCATTGGCTACCTTTACAGACAATTAAGAAACAAGTAAATAAATATTTAAATTTATTATTTTACCAAAACTATCATATCCTCTTCATGCATGATTTCTTTTATTAACAAAAAAAAAATGTACCTATATGTAAATTTTGACGTAGAATTCGAAAAAAATACTTAAAAAAATATCAAAACATTATTTAAAAAGATATTTAAAAAACAAAATCCGGCAACATTTGGTGCCATCCCGTTTTGAAGTACTCAACTACATTACCACAAACAAATAAATAAATAGTGTATAAAATATGTTTAAATTTTATTATTATAAAACAAAAGAAGTATTAATTGATTAATTATTTTATGATAACATACATATACATCAAATATAAAAAAAAATTAAATTCCAAATTTTAAAATTGTTAGTTAATTATTTTATAGCTTGAAATAAAAAATTAATTTACATACAAAAAAAAAGTTTTACTTGTATCGTTTTAAAAATTTTACAATTTAAAATTTACCTACTTGTTAGGTTAGGTAATGAAATATGAGGGACACTTATAATAATAGGATTTTGATCTACGTGAATGTTATTGGTAGATGTGGGAAGTACGTCTGTATTTTCCACACATTCTACAGGCCAATCCATAATATCATCGAAACAATTATTATCAGTATTATAATTTGGTACATCAAACTCACTGAAAAAATGTTCTTCGTCCTCTTCTTGGTCAGAAAATTCAGACCCAGAAGGTATAGACATTTCGTCTTCATCCATTTCAAAATCCAACAAATCCGCAATAGTATGTTCATTTAATTTAGACATTTTCACAAATTATTGAAAAAAAATATATATTTATGAGACCAAATAAACAATACTTTACTCGTACAACAACACAACGTACTGATAATAATGGAAACAATTTAAAATCCATAGATGAAATAAAAACAAAAATAAGACGCATGTAAAGACATGCAATAGTTTGTACGTAAATAGACAAAACGTCATAAAATTGATTGAAAAAATACATCCACCAAATCGGGCTGGCACCAAATGTTTCCATCAACAAATCTCGCTATAAAAATTCTTCCATTTACCAAAACCGGTTTTAATTAATATTATCTTAAACAAAAGTTATAAATCTATTCAGAAATATTTTTTTCGAAAAGTTTATTTGATTTTTATGTATGAAAAAAAATTGTCTAAAGTGGATGACTTGTAGTAATTTTGGAAAGCTGTAGTCTTTCTGTTTTTTAGTCATTTTCTACCAATTTTAAATATGACTAGCGCTACCTATACTAGTAAAATATAAACATTACTATGTTATCATAATGTAGAATGATATATGAAGACTGTTATAATTTAAGCTGATTTTTAATAAAAATAAATATATATGGCACCATTTGATGCCTCTATGCGGGAAGAGGATATACTATAATAATTACGCAGGATTTCTATACAGTAATAATTATCCAAAATCAAATTTTAAATTAAATTAGTAGAAAAGAGTAATTGAGGGATAAACACCTTCTATAAAGTTAGAAATAAAGTTTATGTATACTATAGGGCCATTATAATTTATTAACATAAGACATAACAATTTAAACGAAATTGAACGACAACCGTCATCTGTCAGTCGTGCATATTATACTCCTATCTCCACTCGATTATAGCATGACGATGACGAGGAAACCTGCCTCTCCACTCCTGGCTACCACAAGAAGCCAACACCTTCACCTTCATTATATGCACGCACGCACAACACGTGCAAATATGGTGTTTATGCACGTCTCCAACGGTATTATATCACTTTTGAGAAAAACGTAAAACATTCGAAGAAAAAAACGTTCAAAATCAAACGAATGAACACTATATACAATATATTATATATAAGCAATAAACGTTTAAAAAAAATGTTCAACAAAAATTTGAATAATAATAAATATATATGTACCTATTATATACATAATATATGTCCATCGGCGATTGGCTGCAACGTGGCCGCATATATATTGATCCGTTGCCAATCGTCGCGGACATTTTTAATGTTCTTAAAATAATATTCAACGGCGATTCAGCCAAGGCCGATGGGACAAACAAGACACTAATTTAAATTTTTTGAACCGTTTAGGCTTGAGTATATGTAGTCAAATACAAAATACAAAAAAATAACACTATTATTTAAATGCATATAGTAAATATATCTAGTAATAAACTTTGACACTTTGTGTATTATATCACAACGAATATAATATAATATATAGTAAATTTTTAACTAAAAATAAATACACGTCATTATGTTGTCAGTTCACCGTCGTTGTTCTCAAATTTACGTTGTCAAAATGTCAAATTTCCTCATCTAAAAATTTTTAACAATCGAATTTTTCATTTGTGACGTTAAATATCTAAATTGGGATATACGAGTACAATTTAGATCTATTCATTCAATATTCATAAAAGTATTTATTATATTTATATTACAGATTTGTTTAATTATTTTAAATTATTTTTATTTCTAAAATTTAATACTATAATTACAGTTTTAACTTTAATTTTATTTTTTTGTAATGCTGTATTTTTATTTTCAAGAATATTTTATTTAATTATATTTTAACTCATTATAATATCAAAATTAAGTTATATCATAGGTATTGCATCATTAAATGTTT